TGATGACCGACTATTCTGAAACTTGCACCAATTACATAGCTCCACTAGTAAAGCTCAGAAATCTTTTCCCAGGGGCAGTTTCGAATCAGTTCAGCGAAATTCCACATTGGTGACAAGGAAAGACTTGCTCACTCGTCTACATATCTGTGGCTCGGATTCCTCTGTACGAAGAGAATATCATAAAACTTTAGGAGAAACTACGAACCCGGATTTTTTGCTTGTCACGTCATTCACACCAATCACGCAGATGTTTCGGAACATTTCGCATCTGAAACGATACGCTAAATTACTCCTATCTGCAACGAATTTTCTAGTTTACCGATGCTTGAGAACTTAGAAATGATTAACAATTTCCGACAGCGCCTTAATATGGAATGTGTGCATGAAATTTAAAGCAGAACAGCATAGATAGAGGTGTAAAGCAAAATAGATAAATTTCGGTTTGGAATTCCAAACGAGTAAAAAGGCAACAAAAAACTAGGGGAGATAAAGAAAGGGGCTTGTGGATTACCCACGAAAATTCTACAAAACCTTTTTCTGGAATAGCTTTCAGATCGCTCGCACTTGGAAATTTCTTCACTACTATCAATTTGATGTGCTGTCGAGCGCATACTTCCATTGAAAAATAGGTTGAACAAAAGATATTAACTTGTAAAGAATGTGATTGTATACTGTCAATATGAGAGCGATCAGGGTTAGATAATTTTAGATAGCTAGTCATAGAGCTGACAAATGAGACATTTCACTCGCAGTTGCAAGATAGCTTGAAACCATACACTTTGACTTAATTACACGCGATCACTAGACCGACAAAATGGACTCTGTTATAACGCCGCAGCTGACCTGTTGTTGAGTACGCGGACTCCATGAATTTCATACTCGACGAACCACATCATTGCATCACCGTAGTAATATTCGTGATTGCCAGAGACAAAATATGTATGATGCCGTTTCAGAGCACTCCTACATAACATTTAGTAAAAATCAATACTTGAAATCGATGAAGCTATGCAATGATTTAATTCGAAAATCCTCAAAACCGTAACAAAAATGAATGGCAGAAATGAAGCATTCAAAATAACTAGCCAGATTTCCTTTTAGAATGTGTTAAAAACACGGCTTTTTCTAAGAAACTTGCGAAGAGGAAGATGTCTTCACTGCTGAACTGTTGGCAAGCAAACACTGCTAACTTAAAACACACCACAGGGGCTCCATGCGATTTGCCAAAATTTTCACTGGTCCATCAACCATGTCACCCACTAATGCCACAGCATCAACATCGAGAGATCGATGCAGTTTGCTAGAGACTTTAGCAATCTGAAGAATAGATTCAAAAGCATCTATAATACTCAACTGATGAAGTAAAGGGGAAGAAAAGTCACCTTTTCCTAGCTTATCTTTCTTTTCATCAGTGGGTTATCTTTATATTTGACACTTTCATAGATAAAGCTGGCATGTATACATTTTCTTATCGCTCATCTCAAGAGCCCTAATTTTTTGATCGTAATAAATCCATTCCTTAACGCCAATGTACGCAGAAGTAACGCGAGGGACTAACAATAAACAGTAAGTTCCCCCCCCCCGCGTCCACCGTTTCAGTCCATGGGAGGGCGGTCGGTCCAAGTTACGTAAAATGGAGCGGTGCCTGGCTATCGCGGGGATTGAAGAGTAGATGCCCCAAGGCAAAACCTAACGTACTCAACCTCGATTCCCAGCCGACGCCCGTTTCATGCTCGCCCTAATATTATACACTGAAAGCACAATATAGCCTAGGACATGTATATCTTCAGTACGCGATAATACTATTCACATATTCGGTGTCATGACCTACATATTATCGACAGACAGAATCGACCACAATGCTTCCCACCTAACCGTAATAAATCTAATTTCTGATTTGAATTCCCCTCGAATTTTGCATCCAAGCGAAACCCATCTGATTTTCTTGACAATCTTGACAGAAATTCATCACGCGCTGAGCAAATTTTACACATAGAAATTTCCAATTTCTCGCATCCGGCAAACTTAAAATATGCAGGAACGGTGACAGAGAACGCTGAAGGTGACGTTCTACTTGTTCTTTAACGCACAGTTGCACCGTAGAAACAATCAACAATAACGCGATTTTGACAGATTACCATTCATCAGAGAAGTCCTGTAAGAGAAAAAACCAAATACATATAAGGAAGGGAAACACAGTTTGTTAATAGCAATTACGCCAAGTTCTACTAGTAGTTGGCTTACGGAATTTCAATCCGTCTATGAGGTGGTATTTGTGATCTTTCTGCGAGCGCTACTGCTTCTCACTGTGGAAATGCTAACGGTCCACCTTAGGCTATTTGTTCCCAGTGTGCCTTCTACTCTTGTTTGGGTGAAGATCCGTGGAAATCCGGACATTTACTCCAATGCAAAAAAATCGGCTCAATAAATAACTTTGACAAAATGGCTTTCCGTTAGACAACAAAGATCAAAAACCTATCGTAATGCGAAAAATAGACCCATGAAACGACGATGACATATCCCAACGACTTAACAATGAGAAAATCATACCTTGACAGGAATAGTGATTTGTTTGACAAGAACATCGTCGCTGCCGACCCACATCACGAACGACATTACCACAGAGAGCAAAAGAATAGCTCTAATCGAGTTATACTAGAGATACTAAAAATCGGTAATGCTAGAAAAGCTTCGAAAAAGTACTTACTCACCTTATTTGACACCGTCGATCGAACAGCAAAGAGCTAAGATAAGGAATTCCACGCATTCTTCTCACTATAAAATTAGCAGACGACACTGCCTAAAAACAAAAATCTGAGAAAGCAGAACAAGGTTACAATCTTGCTACGGATATTCGCCCTCACGTTCAAAATGTGTACCACAGAATTGACAATAAAACAACCAGCAACAAGCCCGAGCAAATTGATCCAAATTCCAGAAAAGAATGCGCAAACGTCAAAGAATCGGTCCTGAAATAGGAAAAGATAGAGAAATCAAGCTCAGCCATAGCCATGAATCAAATCACAGCCAGTTGGCAGTTAGAAAGTGTGAAACAAATCAGTGACTTGATTCCATTAGGGATTCTATGTTTTTCTCTGGAAGGAAAAGATAGAAAACTAATTGGGAACGTACTTGGACTTCTTCAGAAGCGAAATACAGGAAATACATCCCTTGTGATGCAATCATAAAAGAAATCAGAGCAGCAGAAGCAACCGTGCGACTTTTCTGAAACCCTGACTGTGCATTTAAAGAATTTCAGATAGGAACAAACCAAAGCCGAGAAATTAGGAAACCGCTGGGAATTGATTTCCATTCTCAGAATCATCGACTACAAAGCAACTAAATATTGATGAAAGCGCAAGGATTTGAAAAAAA